GAAATGGTATAGGGTTTCCTGCCTGAGCAGGGGGTTGGACTAGATGACCTTCAAGGTCCCTTCCAACTTTACTATTATTATTATTAACTCAACCCACCTGACTGGGTTGTTGTGGGGAAATTAGGAGGAAGAAGGTGTGTTGGGTATGTTTGCCACTTGGTAAAAAAAATAATAAAGATGGGATACAAATAGATAAAAATTGACCACAGTAATTTGTAAGCAGAGCATCCTAAGTGGAAGAGGAAAGATGTATTGCCAGGTCATGAAAAGAAAGTTGCAATGATAATTACAGGTTGCGATGATAATTAAAAGAATAGCATCCTTCTTTGCTTATTGGATATCAATGCAAGAATTATAGCATTATTTCAAACTGCATTAGTGCTAAAACATGAACAAACACAATTGGTCTTATATGATATTTTTACATCCATTTTTATTGTTTAAAAATACTTGCTATTTTTATATCAAATGTATCCATGTTTGGGATATCAAAGGTATTATAGAATTGAAATTGAAATTTGCCAAATATGACTTTACATGTAAATATAATTACCAGCTTTTTGCACAGAGAATAGTATATTTATTAGTCTGTGGACCTAAACAGAAAATTAGTTTGGTGTAATGGTTAAGACACCAGGCTAGAAATTGGAAGATTGTGAATTCTGCTTATGCATTAGGCACAAAGCTATCTGGGTGACATTGGGCCAGATACTGTTTCTTAGCCCTAAAAAGGCACTGGCAAACTACAATGCAAAATATTGCCAAGAAAACTACAAGGACTTGTCCAGGCAATTGCCAGGAGTCAAGGATGAGTTGAAGACCCAAAACAGAGATCAGTAAAATAGGGGTAGGTAATCTGGAGTCCTCTATATCTTTTGGTTGAAAAAATATTTGCTTTGATTTGGGGAGTTTTTCTCCAAAATATGTAGAGGATGCTAGATTATCTATCCTTCCACAAACTGTTCTCAGCATTGAATGAATAAAACAAAATAGTTCATTCATACATTAGTTATCCTGAATAAGAGAAGATAATTTTGACCTTAGTGCCTTGAGCCCAAATCAACACTATGTTCATTCATGGATTGTCCCCATTTGGCCTCATGTACTGTTCTGTATCAGAAATGGGTTTTACTTGTAAGTAGCTCCACGTGTTGCCAATTGCTTTTTATTCAAGCCATGATAAAAGAAGCAGTTTCAATGCAGAGAAATCTTTAAGGAGAGGTTCAAGAATATGCCAGTCTTCTATTTATTTCAGTGCTAACACTAAACACAATACTATTCTCTGGGTTAGAACAGGATATGAAATAAAATAATAATAAATAATTCTCCATGTTCAGAGGGGGATGCAGATTAACATATACAGTTAGAATCTTTCTCCTCTCTTTGGAATAATTGATCACAAATATTTTCATCTTTACTCTTAATCTAATACATTGTGAAAGCCCTTTGCTCTCGAACTTCACTGTTTTGGGTCTTCATGCATTTTTATTTTTGTTGTGTATGAAGAAGTACAATTTCAATATTTCAAATATCTCTGCTTTGACTATTTCCTGTTATCTTTTTAATGAATAGTTGCATCATGGTGCATGAATAGTAACCATCAAATATTTATATTTATTACCCATTCTTTTACTGATGTGGCAAAGTCATCTATTTCCATCCCTACTGTATGTCACAGAAAACAATTAAAAATATTTTCATATGATCTTCCAGCAATAAGATGTGCCATGATTCTTGTTTCTTGTTTGTACTGTTTATCAGATATTGCTGAACTACATTGCTGGTATGTCCCAAAAATTACCAAAGTGGCCAGAGCTGATGGGAATTGAAATCAAACACTATTACACATTCACCAAGCCTGCAATAGAACAGACCACACATTTCCTAGCTGCTTTAGATGTTACACAAGGTCTCTAATGTAAAAGAAATCAATAATTCTCTAAGAAATCTGAGGCAAAATCTTTTGTTCACTTTAAACTTTTCTGATAATTGTACCTAAGAAAACCTTTGACAAGTATTCGTTCTTTATCAAAATTTAGTTTTATTTTACAATCCCCTTGAGAAAATTCTAGTGCATCACAATAAGTTAGCCATGTATATTTTTTCTATCATTTCTCAGCTATAAAATATTTTTTGTGGTGAGAACTACAAAGATGTTTTTGGGCACAAATTAGACTTTTTATTCATTCCATATTCTGAGATTGGCCTGCTTGACATGATGATTTTTGAAATCTATATTGATCTTAGCTTTGTCATATTATAGTTACCTGTGCCACCCAAATCTTAGATCATGTCCTTCTAAATCTAATAGCCTTCTGTTTCATAGTAACATCCATTATTTTATCCAAGCTAAACAGCAGGCAGCAAAGTATAATTTCCAAACTGGTAGTCCCAATCCTCCTCTTTCTTGTGCATCTTGTAATACCTTGTATTTAAGTTAGGTTTTTCCCCTCTGCCATACAGGCTTCTGAATGAGTTGAAAAAAGAGGCCCTGATTTAAGAAGTCAATTTATTAGAGTTAATATAATGAGGCTATTTTAACAAATAACAGAGAGATAGTATGTGCTTGTGTTCAGTATTATTTCTTCCAAAACAGTTCTGAAGTGTGCATAGCTATAATAACTATCCCATAGCTGTTACTGATAATTTAGAATGCTAATATAATATGCACTATCCAGTCCTCCTGAAGATGTTCAGTCTCTTAGGTACTCTTTGTTTCTTCTAGGTTATGTACTTGTAGGTGTCTTATCTTTATTTTTATTTTTATTTTGCTTTGATGCTTTTACTCTTAAGGAAGCAACAAATGTTTTTTCAGGTACTGTACTGTACTGTACTCTTCATACATTTATTTTAATCATTTCACTGCAATAGTTTTCCAAGAAGCTTTGGAGTCACGGTGTTTATGCTGCAATTATCCAGGACCTATAATAAAGCACAGTTCTTTTCAGACAGGTTTAATGTTAGGCATTTTTTTCTTAAATAATAGTTTCCCCAAGTTTTCTGTGTTTTAGACATTGTTTTTATTTTTAGTCCTGTTTCTACTCAGTCTGACTTGTGTTTGCATTCTCTTACAGCTTCCCAAATGTGACCCATGATGTATTCAATTTCACCCTTCATACCACCCTGGCCCTCACCACAAAACTAGTGCTTCCTACGCCTGCCAAACCAATCCTTCCAGTGCAAACTGGCGTCGAGGCACAACAGGAAGAACAGTCGAGTGGCATGACTATTTTCTTTAGTCTCCTTGTACTAGGTAATCTCTTATTAATTACTTTTGATAGCGGTCATAGAAAGATGAAGATTGTGAAACACAATTCCAGTTATGCTTTCTGACCTGTATTACTAGTATGGAGAAAAAGTGGAACAGAAGAGTTTGTTTTTTTAAGTTTCCAATATAGAAGGAAGCAGATGTGAATATTAGCTTTCCTCTTTCTGAAATAAAATTTGCATCCCCTTTTACTCATGCAGGGTGACATGGTGGCTTAGTGGTTAAGACACCGGGCATGTTGGCCGGAAAGCCGGCAGCCCAGGTTCAAGACCTAAGAGTTTTGATTTCCCTTGTAAAAATGATGGCAAACTATACTGTCGGTGTTCATTTGTGTTGTCAGAATGGGATTTGAGTAAGCAAATGAGATAGGAAATAAGCAATTCAGAAATCACATGTGGTTCTTGGTTGATCTATGCCTTGTTTAATGGGTCAAATTCCCCATCCAGGAGATGTTGGCAAATGTTATCTGTGGTTTGCTAAATATTTACAGAATTTTGATGATTTGGCCCATCACAAACCACTCTATGGGTCTTAGTACCTTATGTGAAGGTGTGAAATAGCACCATCCTGTGTTAAATAGCATATTTAGCTAAATGTAACTTGTGCCACTTTGGCTTCTCTAACCACTTAGCAAACCACTGTGGCTGCACATGAAAGCAGATGATGGCTGCATACAAATCATGAAAATGTAAATATTTTAAGATGAGATATAATGTGTAAGTGCAGTTAAAGGGTGTGTTCATACTTTTGGCTCAGCCACATGGTGTAAAATATGTAACTCATTAATTAGGGCTTAATATGGTACATAGATCCAGCCAATTGTGATTTATTTAGCAAGGTTATATTTAAATACACCATACCTTAATACTGTGTTTGTATCAAATTAATGACTTTGCCCAAGATAAAGGGAAACAACTCAATAGATTGATTTTTGGGAAGAACATGTTATTCCCAGCGAAAGCTTTATATTGGCAATTTACAGATTACATTGTAATTTGCATGAGTAGAGTGATAATTTAAGAAAGACATTATCCTGGAGTTTCACTGCTTAAATGAGAATGTTTCCTAATCAAGATTCAAAATTCATAGTCCTGAACTTTTAATTAAAATAAAAATTATAAATATTGTATTACTATTAGGGTCATTTTCTTCCTAACTGTACCTTACCAATTTGCAAACAAATAAAAAAAGAGAATTAAAAATATAATAACAACAATTGTTAAGGGAGGAACTATAATGACAGGAAACACTGGTGATATAAAAAAAAATCTGCAAAAAACATTGAGGAATGGCGAAGAATAGGGCCAGTTCTTACATTTTAAAAATATTCTGAAGATAGTCTAATAATTTTTGTAAGACAGGTTTAGGTCACTAAGAATTTCAGCCTGATGGGGCTTTGGTTTCAGGTTCTTGATATAAAGAATATGAGTTTCAATTTTTAATACATTTTCATAGGTTTGATTAATCACAGCTTAAGTGTTCTAACAACAAAAAAGATCCCTATAAGAATATAAATGCATTACAAACCTTTTTTAAGTTTTAATGTAATTGCTTTTTTCGTGCATTTCTCAATGTGGAAAAAACACTGATACATTTTTTAAAAAATGTTATTGTTAAGGGAATTAGTTGAACAAGATTAGAACAGGATCACTGCCGATGTGAACTATGTGAGCGTACTAAAATTAATGATCTTTCCAGGAAGAAGGTTACTCTGTGTGTCTGTATGTTTACACTGATGCTCTGTATGTTTATGGTAGCTTCTACAAAACGAAATACCCAGGAATTCCCTGTATAAATTAATAGTTTATAAAAATTCGATCACAAAAATGGGGAGAATTGTGTGTAGCCTGTACGCAGCAGATCAATGCTCCAAACCCATGTGGTTTATGGAATTAATTTTGAAAAAGAATTGTGTTATCTTTTATTCAATCATGACAGAGTGTAACCTGAGTACATAGCTATAGTTTTTACTTAATTAAATTCTGCAATTGCTTCCTCAATTCCAGTCTTAAAATTAAAGGATGTTGTACCTTCATTGTACTCAGAATGTTCTTCTATTTTTTCTTAAACTCTCTGTTGCAGAAAGAATTATCTGATTTTACTTCTATTCCTACTTTCTTGTGAACTGAAGGTGACTTCTTTTTGAGGAAATATGTCTAGAATTATAGAATGAGCCTCTTCATAATATGCAATTGTGTAATCCAACATCTCTGACATAGAAAAAATTGTTCCCAGGAATGGGATCCTTTAAAACAAATCCATTAAATTTTGGTTCTGAGTTTTTGAGAGTTCCAAGTGTGAAAATAATAAGGATATATATTACTAACAATATAATAGAGAAATGTTTCTCTAATAGTGAGAAACATTTCTTTCACTAGGTTTTCATAGCATCAAAGGGTTATTTTCCTTTTCTTTGATATTTTTCCTTGATTCAATTTACCGTACCTTTATGTGAACTGGGTAATTCTGTATGAAAGATATATTTATAAAAGTCTGTATATATTATTTAGCTTTTGCTTTCCATTACCGTTTCTGGTTATACTTTCACAAACATAGTTAATTTGTAAGCTTTGTTTTTCCTGAAAATCTGGTTGTCAGTTTGAATGATTGTAGTGCATTCTGGTTGTATTGGATTACAGTTTCTATTTTAATAATGCTTAATTTTTTGTAAGTGTGGGAATTATTCTGGAGAAAAATCAAGTGTTTTCCTTTGAAATACCCCTATGCTGGTTTGGAAAAGTCAGTTGGACCCATTTTCATTCCCACAGTGATCCTAGTAAGAACACTAATTACTGCCATTTTTAAATAATTATCTAAAAAGGTTTCTTACATCCACAAGCTCCTGAATGTTAAATATTCAAGTGTATCTATATCAGGGGTCCCCAACCTTGGCAACTTTAAGATTTGTGGACTTCAACTCCCAGAATTCCCCAGCCAGTCCACAGGTCTTAAAGTTGCCAAGGTTGGGGACCCCTGATCTATATTACTGTTTCTCCAGATGGAGAAGACTCTGAAGTTGTTTTGTGTTTAAAACAAGATAGGAGCAAGACATGCATTGAAGAGTTGCAAAATGTACAGCCGCATTAGGGAGATATTTGCCAGAAGGAAACCAGTTTTGATAAATTTTGAACTTTTTTTCTGAATAATGTCAGTGGCCCTGAGACAGTGCCCTATCTAAAAAAGTGATTCTAAAAAAGTGATCCCAAATATAAAAAATAACTTTTTGTGAGTTTTAGTGATTTTCTTTGAATAGGAATAAGTGCTTTGTGTGTGGGTTCATATAATACTAAACCAGATTATGATTTAGTGCCTTGTTTGAAACCAGCTAATACAAAAAGCCTAGATTTTCCTTTATAAATTTATTAAGAAAAATGCTATGATAATATCTCATGAGGTATCGTTATGTGAAACAATATAAGAAAACAAGGATTGACTAGATAGAATCCATGTCTTTTTTTAAACTGTGTGTTATCCTTTGTCTTTAGAGAGAATTAATGTCTGGCCTCCTGGACCAACTTAATATTTGAAAAGCATTAAATGAAATATTTAAAGCTAAAGAAAAAAATAGATGACATTGTGAAAGAAAGTGCTATATATATTGCACAAATATATTTTTTCTTTTCACATTTTGGCATCACGAACTAAATTCCTGAGTAGAGTAAGATTATTTTGAAAGCAGCCAGTTCTACCATCCCACATCCTCCTTACGACCACAGTTGAGCCCCAAATTTATGTTGCTAAGCAAGACAGTTGTTAAGTGAGTTTTGCCCCATTTTGTAACCTTTCTTATCACAGTTGTTAAGTGAATCACTGCAGTTGTTAGTAACCTGGTTGTTAAGTGAATCTGGCTTCCCCATTGACTTTGCTTGTCAGAAATTTGCAAAAGATGATCACATGACCCCAAGACACTGCAACAGTCATAAATATGACTCAATTGCCAAGCGTCTGTATTTTGATCACATGACTATGGGGATGCTGCAGTGGTCGCAAGTGTGAAAAATGGCCATGTCACTTTTTTCAGTGCTGTTGTAACTTTGAATGGTCACTAAACATAAGTTCATAAAATATGGCACAACAAAATAAATCTTTGGGGGGGGTGTCTACAGATGCTAGTTTGATGGGGGAGAGGGTTTTGCAGGAGAGTGCCTTTGGGTCGGTGTTGACCCTTGGTAACTGGATGAGTCTGGGCAGTTTTCTGGGCAAACGTTATGGAAGTAGTCTGCCATTGCTTTCTTCTTAGGGCTGAGAGAGACCCAAGGCCCCTCATCTGTCTTTGTGCCTAAGGCAGGACTAGAACTCCTGGTCTCCCTGGTTCTACTGATGCCTTAATCATTACACCAAATTGACATTATGTATGAGTATCACCAACTCCTTCTCTCCCTTCCTGCAATTTATATGTCATTTCAGCCCAAAGAAAAAGTCCAAAGGGTATTTTTTACAGAGGCCCTGTGAGTTTTTAGGAGTGGCTCTATTGAAATATGCAGAGAAAGTATGATGCAACAAAATTTTATCCTACTACTCAAAAGGATTTATTGTTGTTCAGGCACCAGGGTTGAATGTAATTGACAACTGGCAAATGGGCTGGTAGATGCTGACTGTGGAGTGCTCTCAGCAATGACCCTGGCCTATACTATTTGCAGTGAAGGGACAAATAGTAAAAGGAGTACTGTAAAACAAGCTGTGATTAAGAAAGGATCAATAGAGCAAATGACTTTCATATTTAATAAATGACAGCACTAGGTTGGGCAGGAAAAAGTCTTATATAAAACTTTACGAGCCACTGGCAACAATGCAGAAAATAAAGAGGAAGTTGTACTAGCCATCTGATTCATGATGAGGCAATTTCCTGGAAACTTTTACTTAAACCTGCTAATTCACCTGGTAAATTCAGTCTGAATTAAAGCTGAATATGCTGCTTTTGAAACAATGGCAAAAAACGGCTAGGAAACCTTAATCTTGATGGTACATTATTATACCTGAGGTTCAATGCTTGCAGGAAAGCACTCAGGGCATAGAAGGCCTGTATTTATTTATTTGTAAACATATCACCTTGTATGGCTGCTCCACTTGCCAAATGACTTATTAAAGACTACACCTAGAAAATTTTCTAAAAAAAAATATTGCTGGGGAGAAAAAAACACCAAAATAACCTCTAAAACAATCGGTGTCATGGACAATCTCTTTCTCTCCTTTGCCACTTTTGTTGTTGTTGAATGAGTCTTTCTCACTTGACTGTTGTGTCACTTGTCAAAGTAATGTCACATTGCTATGTCCAATAATATCTTTTACAGTACTAAACCCCATGATCTCCTGAGACCTGGCTTGCGTTTCTCTTGTGACAAGATGTTGTGGTTTATTGCTGAATAAATGCTATTAGATTTTTCTTGCTCAGAGTTGTCCAGATTCTGTGCCACGTCCAATTTTTCCCAAATTATCTCGGTGTGTGATTTGAGGCCATGCATCGTCCTGTGCGATGCAAGAGCAGCTCTAGCCATTTTAGACATGTCAGAAGAAGTTATATCTCCACTGGATTTGGTCCCCCCCCCCATGCTGTTAACAATTCTGGATAAGGCCTTTCTGAAGAAGCCTGGCTGGAATAACCGAGTCTTCTTTGTTTGATGAATTCATCAAGTATTTTAATAACTTGCATATTTATCTAACTTTACTAAACTTACTGGTTCAAACACTCGCTGCTTTCTCTTTTTTTCTGGGACATTTGTGGTGTTTTGCAGACTTTCCTACAATCCCCTTCCTCTCCCCCCTTTTAGTGACTATTGGTTGCTTCTCCTTGGTTTTCTGTTACTAGTGTGAGGCTGCTGTTTGGATGCTCTGTAAGTTTCGAATTCCAAAACATTTTTTGATTAAACGAATAGTTATTTATTACTGTTTCTACTGCTACTTATGAAATGGATCCATTGTCTGAATGTGCTGTTATAAGATGGAACTCTTTGTTAGGTAAAACAAGTTGACAGAGCAGAAGTAGAAAAGAAAACTATTTCTATCTGCCAACGAGAAATAAAAAAGATTTGTTTTTTGTTTGAGAAGATATTAACATTTTAGCAAGTGTCCATTTCTTTGTGGGATGGGCTTGTTTACCAAATAAGAGAAGCCGAAACCCAAAGGAGAATTTGTTAAGTGATTGTTGTCCCATTTTATGAACTTTTTTGCCAAATGTGTTAAGTGAATCACTACAGTTGTTAAGTTAGTAACACGGTTGTTAAGTGAATCTGACTTCCCCATTGATTTTGCTTGTCAGAAGATTGCAAAACGTGATCGCATGACCCTGGGATGCTGCAATCGTCATAAATATGAGTCAGTTGCCAAGCTTCTGAATTTTGATCACATGACCATGGGGATGTTGCAATAGTTTTAAGTGTGAAAAACGCTCATCAGTCACTTTTTCCAGTGTCGTTGTAACTTTGAGCAGTCACTAAATGAACTATTGCAAGTTGAGGACTACCTGTAATATTCCTATTCGATGGTACCCTGTCCTGAGTTCCCATCCTGGTGGGCCAGGTGGATGTGAGAGGGGAGAGACAGTCTTTCAAATAGCCTGGCCCCAAGGTATGTAGGGCTTTAAAGATGATAACCAGCATCTTGAATTGTACCTATTGTTTCTATTTCAAGGAAATGTTATCATTGGGGAAAGTACTCAGTAATACTCCATAATGTGAGGTACAAATAACAACAGGAGTGGATGGGAAATTCCTTATTGATTCCCCAGTTTTTAATATGTAAAACAAATGTCATTTAGATGTGTATAACATACTGTAATTCTAACAACCTTTATCACGATTTGTGAAATCCTTGCAACATTAAATTTTGGAGGATCTTTTTGTAACATAAAAAAAACACAATGCTACATGCACAAGAGGAATTACAACATTTCACAACTGGTTAGATGCTTGCCTATGTTACTTGTATTGAGATTATTGTATAGTCATTAAGATTTGTTAAAACATGTCTATAGGCAATTGAGTAATTAACATATTGTTATGTGCTCACAAAATATTAAGAAATATTGGCTAGCGGCATTTCATAGTGTTCAGTGATATTAATTCAGTGGGAAAGTTCTCAGAAGCAATAATGTAAAAGCTTAAGCTTAAAGCATACAGTTTTTAAAATGTTAATCCAAGTATTTATAGAAAAGTAAATAGACAAGTTAGCGGATGACATACAACTGGTCTGACAAATAGTTTACTTATGTTTCTTAATATGAAAGATGAGACAGTTGGTTAAATAGTTAAAATTTGCCAATTTTTAAAAAAACATAGTATATAAGTACAGAGCAACCCCTGTTCCCTTCCAGCACTGATGTTGTTATCTAGGTTGGTAATGCAACATCTGCAAGAAAGCATCCAAGTTCAGAGAGCATTAAGAACCCCACAACAGAGACCATACTGGAGGAGATAATCTGGAAACAGGTGTTTTTGTGGTTCACCATGTGCACTATAGCAATTATTTTGCTGCAGGACCTGCGACAGATTATCATAATAACAAATGTGCCCACTGGTCTAAAAAGATTGGCTACCTCTGATCTATATAGCTCATTTTCAATTATACTACTTTCTTCCATGTTCTTCTTACACAGTTTTTATAATTGGATACGTTTTTATAATTTGGATCCTAGGATTTCTTGCATAAATTGGAGAAGTTAGAGTTCTTCCTCCTAGCAGCTAATTGTTCCTGCCCCAATAGGTATTTGCCCTTTTTTGCCTGTAAGCCCATATAAAATATTAAAAGTTCTTATACATAGCATTGACTAACTGGCTCTCTTTTAGGAATGTTCAATTTATTTCAAGCTTCATATTTTAAATTCAAAGGATAATTGTAGGGTTTGTTTGATCAAGTATTTTGTTGTTAAATATCTCTAAATATTGTCTGCTTTCTTTTCAGCTATTTGCATCATATTGGTGCATTTATTGATAAGATACAGACTGCATTTCTTGCCAGAAAGTGTTGCTGTTGTTTCTCTAGGTGAGTACTGATAGTAGCAGGAAAATTTATACTGTTCTGTTTGAATAAGTGATAGTCACTTATATTTTCAAAGTCCAGATTGTAATTTAATCCAATTATTGCTTTTTGTTATTTGCCTATATATCACACTACCTTCATAAGATTCAACACAGTGTAGAAGAAAAATCCTGTGAAGTTTATTAGGGGAGAAATAATATGATTGGTTCCAAGTCAATTTAATAATTAAACAATTTATTAGACAGATTTATATGGCCAGAACATGGGTGATTGCGAGAAGGGCAGTCACTGATTATCATGGCTAACAAGGATTTTAACCTACAGCCTTCAGGTTGAAGGTTCTGTAATCATGATGATTTTACATATTTGTTTTCAGAAAGAGAGAGAGTGAGTGAAGGATGCAGATTATTATTGTGCAAGGAAGAATGGCAATATCCAAAACCCTCTCTGTAGATCTGGCACTGCTGTTGGCAGTTTCAACGGTTTCTTTGCCTGAGGTAGATCAGAGCTATGAAAGATATAATCTTGAGCATTCTGGGACTCATTTTTACCCTGCCTAATAAGTGATTGATATCATGAAAGCTGTCATAGGAGCATTTTGCTTTGCTATTTCAGAATAGAGTTGGGATGGAAGAACAGCTCCCCACTGAGTCTGAACTGTTATTTCTCCTGATCCTGTGTGGCTTAAATTGGTGGACTTTTTTTGAAATCCAGATATTGGCCTATAATTCCCCTTGTCATCAAACAAAGTGACTATTAGCTAAGTTATTGTGCATGATGGATCGTATTGACCAGGCGTGTCAAACTGCCGGCCGCAGGCCGGATGCATCATACTGAAACCTCGCCCACACCATTGCTGGCAATGGAGAAAAAGTCGCAATACGTCGCGCAACATCACATGACGTCACGAGTTTGACATGCCTGGTATTGACCAACAGATATGAAGCTAATCAGGTTGGGCTTGGCTGGACTTTGAGAACCTTAAGATTAGTAGCAAACAGAGAGCCACCTGTTTCTGGATTATGGTTATTGTTTCAGCCATTGAGCAGACTGCTCCTATAAATATATGAACAGCTGTGGTACATTTAATAATAATAATAATAATAATAATAATAATAATAATAATAATAATAATAATAATAATAATAATAATAATAATAATAATAATTTAATTTGTACCCCGCCCTTCTCCTCACAGGACTCAGGGCGGCTAACAGCCTCATAAAAACCACAATACAATAATACAATAATATCTATATTAAAAACCGAATTAAAAGAAAATATTTGAGAAGGCCAATCATTAAAATTACCCTTAAGATTACCCTTAAAAAACCCCGCTAAAATTCCCTAGGCCAGACCCGCTTGTTGAAAAAGCCATGTCTTTAGGGCGCGGCGGAAGGAGGGGAGATCCGGGATCACCCGGATCTCTGGGGGTAGTTCGTTCCAGAGGGTGGGGGCTCCCACCGAGAAGGCCCTCCCCCTGGGGGAGGCATTAGCAGGAAAAAGTATAAAATCTGATAACTTGCATCATAAACAGTATGTGTGCTCACATTTAGAGGGAGGCAGACAGAGTACTTATGAACACAACTCACAGGGTGAACTAAAGAATTTATGATGTCAGACTTGTAGTCCATTCTCTCCCTCATTTGTGATTAGGTAAATATATTAATTCTCTTAAGTTGAGCTCAACTCCTCATGCCTGGCTAGATATTTTTGGGATTTTCCTAATACTGTAGTCTCCAAGTACCTTTAAACTCAACCCTCTTTAGCTTATAAGCATGGACAGAGTAACTAGATTTTACTGCTTGCTGGAACTAAAGATTACTGTGAATCAATCTTGGCTTTTGGGGACTCCATGGATACTGTTTTTCTTGACAGCAGTGTAGAAGTGATTTGCCATTGCTGTCTTCCGATAGAGAGAAATGGGCCAGTATTAAAAGAATGAAGCTGGTTTATATGTAATCCACATTACATTTTATAATCTACAGTCGGACTGCTTTACTACCTCCTTGAAATGTTGTAGTGGTACTCTTGTGCTACTCCAGAGCCCTTCAAAAAAAATTCTGTAGAGCATTGTCAAAAGGTGGCAATTCAAATGAGTTAAGGTAATATTAGCAGTTTTGTTTCCAGGCAGCCAAACAAGCAGTTCCACATAATCATGATGACTCACCTGCATGTCCCTTTCTTTGGTTGGATGCATAGAAACAGTTGTTACCATTAACATAATTATTGTGTCACCAGTATATGAGCCTTTACTTTCTCTTTATATAAATCCAGTTCTCTCAAGACCTTGCCATAAAAATTTAACTGTTTTGAGGACAGTTTTAATAACAGGAAAGAGAAATGACTTCCATGAATATGGTCATGATAGTGTCATACCAGTTTTCCTTTGAATTGGAAATAGCATAACTGAAGCTAGCTGCTTCACTTAGTTTTGTAATCAACATAAAATGCTCAAAATTAAAATTCTGAAAGGCCTTCTCTAGCGCTGGACAGAAGTCCAGATAACTAGAGTTTGTTTGCCTTTGGAAAGAACCTGAAAACATGACTCTTCCTTCAGTCACTAAGGCAGGGCCATGAGTCATCAGTGTGTGTTAATGTGGGTGAGGTGAAATTTGTTCCTAGCAACTATAGCATTGGTTCTCAACCTTTTTAATGCCGCGACCCCAACCGGTCGTAAGTCGAGGACTAAACTGGTCGTAAGTCGAGGACTAAATCGGTCGTAAGTCTAGGACTAAATCGGTCGTAAGTCGAGGACTACCCAACTGGTCGTAGGTCGAGGACTTTCCCTGCCTAGGAGTGCCACGCATGTGTGGCTCCGCCCCCTGTGCCGGCCGAGGCGTAACTGGCAAGCAGCAGAGACGGAGCAGGCCGACCATCAGCTGGCCCAGCCCAAGGGAGGTAAGGCACCCGCCGGAAAAGGGAAAAAAATGGTGGACAGCCTTGCTTGGCGACCCCTGTGAAATGGTCGATCGACCCCAAATGGGGTCACGACCCATAGGTTGAGAACCGCTGAACTATAGGTATTTATAGATGATTTCCTTGTCCTCCTCTATTTATTTCTTTATTTCTCTATTTTCCATATTATTGGGTTGTTTTTGTTGTTGCCTAAAGTTACATGACAACTGCTGTATACATGGAATAAATAATTAAATAAATGCTAAGTTCTTTAGTTGCCCAACTCAAGGCATTGTTAAATTGTTCTTTGATATCAGCAGAGCTGTTTTCAGTTTCCTGTTCTGGTCTCTTAGCAGATTGGAGCTGTTATTAATAACATCAAGTCAGACAGGATAAGCCCAGAAGTTAGAGCTTTATGAGAAAATTGCAGGCGTAATGAGGGGAGGAAGGAATACAAGACCACCTTTTGAGACTATACTTACTTTTACGTGATTCATATGCAATGGCTTAAAACTTCCAATTACCACATGAACAAATGAATTGTTCTTTGCCCTTTTTCTTTTTCTTTTTAGGCATCTTGATGGGTGCAGTTATAAAAATTATAGAATCTCAAAAGCTGGCCAACTGGAAGGTATATCTGCAATTTTTACAATATATTTATTATATCATTGATGCCATACTTATTTTAAATAATTCAGTTTTAATGCCCAACTCCCAGTTAATATTCTTTTCTTCATTCCTAAAGCAGGAATAATTTTTTTACTGGTCATCTCATTTTAATAAGCTGTACAAACGGCTAGCTGGGAATTCTAGGACTTATAATCCAACACAAAATGGAGTATGCCTGTTTTGTATTCCATAAACACCTTTCCCAGAGACTCATCAATCACTCAGTTTTTATTGAGCATTTTGGGGGGAAATGAGGAAACCTCTTCTCTTTTGCCCTTTTTGTTAACCCTAAAATGTTTTTGGACTTTTATAAAACTTTTGAGATTTCCTAAGCCACCGATAAGCGACCTGCAGTCACCAGTACACTTTTGCAGTCTCATGGAATGAACAAGGCCAACACGTTCAGTGTAATTTAGGGGATTTAAGGAATTAAGAAATGAAGGATTAGGGCACACAGTTTACTTCTTAAATTCCTACATCAAATTGGTTTGTTTTACTTGTAGTAGGTTAAGAGGAAAAGTAAGTATATTTAGTCCGTTAGAGCCCACCAAAAGGTGAAAAAGAACCAAAATCCACCCTAGTCGCATCCAATTAAAAACTGCATTCTGAACAATCAAAAGAGCTGCCCTATATATATATATTAATTCCAGTATCCTTAATTTTAAATATAGAACGTTAGATTCTTCATGCCAGTGGGTGATACTTAATAGTAATACATTACTTCACTATATTTTCTTTGTATCATGTTGCCTATTTTAACAATTCAGATATTAGAGTAGTACATTCTTTGAAGTTTCTCAGTTCTTTCTCTATTTTCTCCCCAAGTGCAACTCTGTGAGATGAGTTGGATTGAGAGAGAGTAACTGTCACGAGGTCACCCAGCTGGCTATCATGCCTAATGCGGGACTAGTGAAGAAGAAGACCATCAGCAACAAGCTGGATGGGCTGAATTAAAATGGCAGTGGAAGACTTAAACGACTAGGTTAAGAACAGATTATCCTGAAGAAAATCTATCTGTATGATGACTAGGAGTCAACGCTCACTTGGTGGCACATACTGTAATAAAATGTTCCTATTTTTGTTAGAGATGCTGGATTTACCTTTGTTCTAATATGGTATTAGTCCCTTTCTCATATATCTCATAATTGCTTAATATTTTTGTTTGTGGTATTTTGCAGGAAGAAGAAATGTTTCGTCCTAACATGTTTTTTCTTCTTTTACTTCCGCCAATTATATTTGAATCTGGGTATTCATTGCACAAGGTGAGGTTTTTTTTTGTTATAATGGTTTGTATACGGCCTACTCAAGGTCATTTACAATAGTAGGACAAGCAGAAAATAATATTTCAAAATCCACCAACCATAAACAATAATTAAAATTACAAACATCTAAAATCCTCTAAAAGTGAACAAACCTTTCTGGCTATATTTGTGTTGAGCTACCCTTGAACTTCGAAATAAATACAAATGACTGAGCACTCTGACCCTTTGCTATCTCTCAACAGACTAAACTCTCTCACATACACAGGTATCTGAATAAAGTTTCATGGAATGTTATGAAAAAGTGCTCCTTTAGCTCATGATCTGTCCTTTTACCCACATAAAGGTTGCTTCCACTTGTGAAAGTGAATTGGATTAAGCAAATAAGCACTACTGCAAGTGAAGGAAGGGAAATATTTTGCATCAATGTCCTTTTCCCTTTCTGTGATCTCAGAAAAGGTAAAAGACTTTATCCTAAAGGTGCTTTTTTCAAAAGGCAACTGGACTTCGTTTTTCCTTGAAGATATTTTGCTTCTCATTGAAAGATCTTCTTCAGTTCTGACTGAATGGTGGAGGATGGCAGGATTTATATTCCTTGCAGTCATCTGGTCATTAACACTCTTTCCCAGCAACAGAAAGAGTGCTAGTGACCAGATCACTGCAATGAATATAAATCCTTCCATCCTCCACCATTCAGTCAGAACTGAAGAAGCCTTTTGAATGAGAAGCGAAACGTATTCAAGGAAAAACAAGAAAGTCCAGTTGCCTTTTGAAAAGGCACCTTTGGGACAACCATGACCTGGATGACTGAGAATCTCCATAGATGTAAAAGACTTTACCTTTCTCTCCTGGATCCAAGTCCAAGCTAAAATATGCCAGACAAAAAAGCACTTCCTTCTTCATAATAGAAAATCTATAAAATAATCAAAATATCCAGGAAAATATGGTTGTAATCCTCGTGTTTCCTGAAATTCTCTGAAATGTCATTTGTTTTCTGGATGTGGAAAGTTCTCTTATTTTCTATGTTTTATCTACACTGAAAGGAGAAAATAAATTTCTAAAAATATAACTGATGAAATATTGGGATGACGCTCTACAAACTTCCTGTGGAATTAAAATCTAACTAATTTCCTTGTCTGTCTCTTTAATCCTAATTTAACTTTGAATACTAAAAGTTAGAAAGAGGAACGTGTTTCTGGAAGATACCTGAAGTTTCAGTCATCTCCTGCTTTTTTTACACGGGTGGTACATATTAGGGTCTGTAAAAAAAAAAGTCAACTATTATCTTATATGCGAAACAAGAGCAGAAGTACAGGTAGTGGTTGACTTAGAACCACAATTCAGCCCAAACTTTTCATTGCTAAGCAAGGCAGTTGTTAAGAGAATTTTGCCCCATTTTATGACCTTTTTGCCACAGTTGTTAACTAATCACTGCAGCTGTTAAGTGAATTGTGCTCACAAATCTGGCTTCTCCCATTGACTTTGTTGGACGGAAACTGGCTGGGAAGGTTACAGATGGTGATCACCTGACCCCAGGGTAGTGAAACTGTCATAAATACATGCCAGTTGCCAAGCACCCAAATTTTGCTCATGTGACCATGGGAATGCTGCAATGGTTGTAAGTGTAAAAACTGGTCATAACTCATTTTTTTCAGTGATGTCATAACTTCAAACGTTCACTAAACAAATGGTTAAAGATTGAGGAATACCTGTACTGTACTTTGCTTGTTCAAATTGTTTGAGGAAAGCTTAACGTTTCAGCACAGGTACAGTTCCTTCCTGATAGCCATTCATTATCTGGAATTAAGTGTCCATACTGTTTACCATTTGAAAAATATAAATCACATTTGCAGGCACCTGTACATGAGTAGAGAAAAACATTACATGTCTACCTGCCTGAGTTGCTAGACTTTGTTTCGGGGTTAGCTGTTCCGATTCTTAGGAAAATAGGTCCCAGGATTTCAGTTTGCTCATCTCAGGAATTCATGGAAATCATTGATTTCACCCAGATCATTGAGGGACCAATCCATGCCAGGCTTGCCCTTTATATCTGGCTTCTGTGGTTAGCTGGAATGCATTTGAATGTGTCATTCCTGAAGAAGTGGAAAGGGATATTGAAGTTACAAACTGGGCAACTTTTTATTAGATCCACACTTTCTCTACCTGCTAAAGCCCACACATAGGGTGCCGTGGTTGCGTCCATTCAGTAATGGAAAGAAATCATCAGAGATAGCCAGTTATGGAAAGGCCCAATGGGAATACTATGGGTCTTGTCTGTCACTGAGCCTGGTCTCTGGACCAGCATTGTTTCTACCTTGCCTTGGTTTAAAAAGCCATCCAATACAGGGCTTTTTCCTCAGGTCTTAGGTTAGAGTGGGTGGTGAAACTCTTACAAGGTTTTTTTTTCTGGATGGTTTTCTCTTCTTGGGGTGGTGGTGGTGGTGAACAGTTCCTTCTTTTCTGCTTCATTATATGGTTTTTGTGTTATTGGTATAAGTTGCCCAGGGTTGTCATCGAGTAGGGCAATTTTATTAAACAAAAGGGGAAAAAAAGCAAAGGTGAGCATCAATCTGCACAATGTTCTTGGATCTGAAAGTCCAGTTTGTTCATGCTAGATATATATGATCTACCAATATTTACACATCGATGAGGAAATGTATCCTGTGCTTCTCCAACCCATGTAATTATTTATTGAATTTATTTTTTACCCTAATTATGTAGCGTACAACATTAATTTTTACAAATGTTTAGATTCAGGTCCTGACAGTGATTGCAGGTAATATTTGGTTTAAAGCATTTGCAAAACTCTTCTTTTTTATATCTCCCTCATATTTTCTTATTTTAGGGGAACTTCTTCCAGAACATAGGCTCCATCACCTTGTTTTCTGTGATTGGGACAGCTATTTCAGCTTTCATAGTTGGCGGAGGAATTTACTTTCTTGGTCAGGTGAGGATGTGCATGCAGAACTTCGCATGCACGGAGTTCGTTGTGTGGAATGCTCTCCAGAAATTAAGGACATATAGTTTTTCTTAGCACATATATTCCTTGCAAACAACTTTACCTAATGCATTTTTAATGTTACCCTTATGAAAATGTCCATTTTTGGCTTACTTTCTTCTAATATACACTTTTGTAATGGTATTTTTTATTGAAGAATCCCTTGCATATATTTTGCTTAAATATATGCAAAAGCTAAATAATAATATTTATTTTAGATAAATTAAAGCAATGTTTTGAGAGCCAGTTTGGTGTAATAGTTAAGGCACCTGGCTAGGAAATGAGATATTGGGAGTTCTAGTCATATTTTAGGCATGAAGCCAGCTGGGTGATCCTGGGGCCAGCCTTTTCCTCTCTGTCCTAGGAAGAAGGCAATGGCAAACCACTTCCAAAATCTTGCCAAGAAAACTGCAGAGTTTAGGTAGTTGTCAGGAGTCAAGACTGCTCAAAGGCACAATAAATAAAATAATAAAACAAAACAAAATAAGTAGTGCTTTATATGACACAAAGATATCTGCGTTTTACATTTTCCTGGAATTATTGCATTTCAGAATCTTGCATATATCTGACCGGTGCCATATTCTTTTGTTTGGTTATTGAAAACCTGAAATTGACTTGCTAGAGTTATTTACCATCCTGTCCTTTGGATCGTCTACATCAGGGGTGTCAAACTCGCAGCGTCACGTGACATGTCGCAACATATTGTGACTTTTTTCCCATTGCTGGCAATGGGGTGGGCGCGGTTTTGCCATGACGCATCTGGCCCACGGGCCAACAGTTTGACACCCCTGTTCTACATCATAGATATCATTTTGCTTTTCAGGTTGCAGGCATTTTACATAAGGAAACAATAGTAATTATTTCCCTAGCTAAAGCAGGTACTACTATAGTCTGACTTTCAGATCATTTTAATTAAATCCCAGAACAGCAGAGGAAAGGCAGAGTATTTGCACTGGGGAACTCCCAGATAATTAATTACTACCACAGCAGAGACTGTATCTTTATCAAACAATGCAAAGCAAGATGCTAGCACCAGCATTTAATGTTTGTAGTAAATCATAAGTGGCTTACATTTAAAATAGGACTGTTTGTGCTGAGAGTTCATGTAATATTTTGGAAAGGTAGAGTTGGAAGGGGCCTGCAAAATAATCTAGCCAAGAGGTGTAGAGTTTTTCAAATGCAAGAGCTACATTCTTAAAAAATGGGAAGAGCTAGGACAAAAAAGGGGACAAGACTAGGATAAAGGCTAAATTTGATTTTTATTGCCTAGTTAGTAAAATTAATTAAATTCAGATAATATGATTGTTCCCCCATCTATACAAGATTGTCTCCTTTTTGTCTCAATAAAAAATAGTGTCCAGTATAATTTGGTGGTTGGACCTAAGATTTTGGGAATTGCATGTCACTTGGAGAATAGTCCAACACTGAGGAATTAATGACACACCAGACATTTCTGGATTAAAAGTCCCAACTATCCTCAACTTTGGCCACGCTGGCTAGGGCTATTGGGAGCTGCAGTTCAGCTTAGTGTAGGATCTGCAATGGAGATTACTGCTTCAAGCCTTTGAACATATGATGAAGGACAGAATCACCAGCTAGAAATGGCTTTTACATTTAGCAATTTCCTCCTCTTTCACATCTATTTAATCAAAGTCTGCTCTCTAAAGCAGTATTTTCCAACTGTGACAAGTACCAAATGTATAGATTTCAATTCCCAGAATTCTCAACAATGGCTGTACAGGCTGGAGAAATTTTGGATGCTGAAGTCCACATATAGAAGTATTCAAATTCTATATGCGATTCTGATCAATTAAATTCTGGTTAACTAAAAGAAAGCTGAGATTAATTAAAAAGGCAAAAAGAATAGCAATTTAAAAAAATGAAAGGAAATAATTGCCCCAGGCAATTGATTATCTTTAATGGAAAAAATATTGCTAAAAGAATGGTTTCTTTGCACAAATCCATCTATCTCCAGAAATCTGTTACTCAAGCTTCATTCTATAAGCACTTTTATCATCAGAGTGATAACTACTTTGATGGCCCACAGTTGGAGAAGGCTACTTAGAAAAGTAGTATAAGTTTACCAAATGATCCTAGATCATCTTGCTATTGCTTCAACTATGATCTTAATTTTCATTTTACTCATTCATTTCATTAGTTTATGCTTCATGGGTTAACTATATGCATATTACTACTGTTTTGTAGACATATTGCAATTAAGCATAAATTGTCCCCTCCACTTGTAATTGCTGAGTGTCAGATGGCATATACATTTAAAATATTATTTATTTGTTGAGAACAATGTAAAGTCATAGCTGCAGTTCTTTGTCTGGTATTGGCCTTTATATGCATTGAGTTCTTCTCAAGAACTTAGGGTGCTGTAATGTATCTATGTAATATATTTGGAAATGCAAGCAGTGTAGGCTTTTGTAATTGACTGATGGAAATTCTAAGTATTGTCTAAAATTTCTGGGTATGGCACCCAGTGTATCAATAACCACTGGGACCACCATACCTTGTCAATTCCATAATCTTTCAATTTTGATATTTAGATTTTGATAGTCTCAAAGGTGCTTTTTCAAAAGGCAACTGGACTTTGTTTTTCCTTGAAGATGTTTCACTTTTCATCCAAGAAGCTTCTTCAGTTCCACTGAAGACGATATGATGTGCTGAAAGCACTATTTGTTGATCTGGGCAAAAATAACATTGATTAGTAATCTTTAATTCGATATCTGATCTTATAAAAATGAAATTACTGCAGTGAGCAGATCCTTGCTTCATTGAACTATAAATTAATAAATTTAGGAATTTTTTTGCATTTCATGGTGAATACATGAGTGTCTTCAGCATTTTATGAGAAATTCAGCCCTTCTTGATGACAGCGTACTATATTAGGTCACAGGAATGTTCATCACAGCTTTATTGAATGCCAGGCTCTTGAGGGAGACCAAAAGACAGCTTTTCTTGAAACATACAGAAATCCACATCAGGGCAATACCTTGGTGAGAATAGAAGATTTATGTTCCAAGAAATCTTCATGGGAAGTAAATCTGGCAGTTTCCTCATTTTTGAAAATACAGAATCCATCTGTAAATTCAAACCAGGAAACTCATTCGTTCCTTAATAGATGGAACAGAGAAGTGGAGAGTAATAGTTAAATTTTACAAGATGTTTCTGTTTTTGTCATTTTTTCTAGGCTGATGTAATTTATAAACTGAATATGACTGACAGGTAAGTTTTGAGAGAACTCTATATAATCTTGTGTGTTTGTAGGAGTCTTCAAGCCGCTACAATGAACACAGTGACTGCATTTATTAGGTTCTTAATTCCTGAGCACTATAGTTAGGAAGGATGCTGATTACTATACTTGTGGCCAATGTTAAGTTCAACGATGATATAATGCTTACCTAGGGTTTAGGTAGATAGGTGGAAATGTGAATCAAAGAGGATATGGGAACTTAACATGGCATAGCAATGTGCCTTCAGCCTTTTAACTGTAAAGAAGTGTCATTGCTTCTTAAATTTAATATGTAGCACCAGATGACTTGCATCACATGGTTTGGCTAAATCTTTATGTATTAATTTTGAAAAAATTCTAGAAAATGGCTGAAAGATTACTAGAAGACAGCAGATATCTATATCTTAGGTGGGATAAGGATCTGAGGAATTAACCGCAGTGATTAGAAAGATACCAATGTAATTCTATATTATGTTGTGTATTGTTTGTTAAAATTTTAATGTTTAAATAGAAGGGATACATGGTTTGATAAAAGTTCTCCAAAGTTTTCTGGGATGTCCTGTTAAATCAGAAAAGAAATCTAAAGTGCAACCTGTTAATAATATTAAATTAAAAATTTAGATTAATTATGATATAATGAATATCTGACATTGAGCAGGTTGCTTTTAAATATTTGAAAAAATATACTATTTTTATTTTTCTTGTTGATAATTGTTGGTCTACATCAGCGGTTCTCAACCTATAGGTCGCGACCCCATTTGGGGTCGATCGACCATTTCACGGGGGTCGCCAAGCAAGGCTGTCCGCCATTTTTTTCCCCCTTTTCCAGCGGGTGCCTTACCTCCCTTGAGCTGGGCCAGCTGGTGGTCGGCCTGCTCCGTCTCTGCCGCTTGCCAGCTACGCCTCGGCCGGCGCAGGAGGCGGAACCACGCATGCGCAGCGCTCCCGGGCAGGGAAAGTCCTCGACTTACGACCGGTTGGGTAGTCCTCGACTTACGATCGGTTTAGTCCTCGACTTACGATCGGTTTAGTCCTCGACTTACGACCGGTTGGGGGTCGCGGCATTAAAAAGGTTGAGAACCACTGGTCTACATGGAATGAGATTCATCTTCTGTTAGAATAAAAAAACAACCCCAATGCATTCCAGGATAATAATTTCAATCCATTGAGGCGTTCCAGGCTTGCTGAGTAACCTTAGTAGCATTTAATAATTCAGACATTATGTTAATGTATTTATTGGATTTCCTGACAGTTTTGCCTTTGGTTCCCTGATCTCTGCTGTTGATCCAGTAGCTACTATTGCTATCTTTAATGCTCTTAATGTGGACCCTGTGCTTAACATGCTGGTCTTTGGAGAAAGCATTCTCAATGATGCAGTCTCAATTGTCCTGACAAAGTAAGTACATTCATGTACATGGAAGAAATTTTTTTTTTGAAATTAAATGCTCATTTAGACAAAGAATAATGTACTTCTTTAAACACTACTTATTTTAATGTAATAAATATGCATAATATGCATTTATGCTCTTTCGCTTAGTATGCTTTTTAATCATCATTCCTCCTTAATTGTCACATTGATGCTTGCCACCCACTCTCATATAAAACAGCCCCAATTATTCTTTCTCTTAGGATCCACAGATGCGCAACCTATATTTAATTACACATAAGGGCAGGAATTTGTGTTGGGGATTTTCTTCAGCACTATAGTCCTTATGAATTTCTTTTAAAAATTCTACTTCATATGAGAAGCTGGTGTGTAAAATCATTCTGCTTCCATGGCTTATATTTGTTGCAGTATTAGTTTCTGGGTTTGAGACCAGAAATAGAGTTATTTTGTACATGTTTACAAAGCTCTGATTTTAATAAATCAGTAGGGTATATTGGGCAAAGTGGGTACTTTCTGATTGCTTGGTTTGAAAGTCATGTAGGTGAAAGTAAATCTTCTTGATTAATTGGATGATGTGCCTAAGGATATCATTATATTTTATTTATTTTTAAAAGCTTTCTATAGGTGACTTCCACATATACATATTAATATTGTCTGATTTGTCAAGGATCTAATTCTTGCCAGCCTTAGTCATATTAGGATCTGGAAATATTTTCATGAAGTATATTCATTCATTCATTCATTCATTCATTCATTCATTCATCCAACTCATCCCTCCGTCCCTTCCTGCCTTTCTCAGAATATAAGTTTATTTCCCTCCCATTTTTTCATTTGCTTGAGGATCAGAAGAGCAAACATCTTATTTTTGATTCTGTTATATTGTACCTTCTTTTTTTTTTCTTTGTCTGTGAAAGAACTGTTAGAAAGATTTCATTTCTTTTGCTGTAAGTAGATACCCTCCTGGCTTATTTTGTATCTTTAGAACAGCTGTATTTCCCTTTGAAAAATAGTGCATCTTGAATTGATTGAATGTCTTTTGTCCTTCCCCTAGACATATTACAATGAAAGCATTTTAAGAGCAATTTTAACAATTACAACAAAAATAAAGCATTTACGGATTCTGCATTCCGAATCCCAGACTTAAGATTCTAATGTGTAATCCCCTTGGTTGTCCTTGTTTTTTATTATTATTATTCTCAGTACAGCAGAAGGTTTGACGAGAGAACATACATCTGATGTAAATGGATGGCAAACCTTTTTACAAGCACTGGCTTACTTTCTGAAGATGTTCTTTGGTTCTGCAGCACTGGGGACTCTGACTGGTCTTATTTCTGCATTAATATCCTTTGCTTTTAGATAAAATAAATATTTGCTCTTTAATAATAACCCTTGGTTACATTTCTGAAGATGATTATTCTTTTAAAACATAACATTTTTATTAGCAAGAGTTAGCAAGTAACAATTTCAGATTTGCATGAAACTTATATTTGTACAAGACTTTCACTAAGGCCCAAGTTGCTCTATAATAACTCATCATGCTTGCTGATGCAGTGTTGCTGGCTGGGGAATTCTGGGAGTTGAAGTCCACACATCTTCTAATTGCCAAGGTTGAGAAACACCATGCTAATGGATGAGACTAATAGATGATTTTCCAGTTGTAGTTTTAGTACATTCATTATATTTTCAATAACGTGTTAGTGCATGTTTCATTTTTCAAATGCATTAGATATCTGATTGATTGAATTTTTATTTTCATGTTGCTTGTTTTAGAATTGAATCCTGAAATTATCCTATATCAAAAATCTATCCAGCTAATTGGCCTGGCTCTTTTAGTATGGAATTTATGTCAGACAAAGAGTTTGATTTTTCATAGCAGCTTGAATTGCTTTTCTGTTATAACATATACTGTATGTTTCATCTTTTCTCCTCTTCCAGTAATATCTGGTGAGCTAAAGCATTATTCCATTATGGTCTGAGTTTTTCTTTTCCAATAAAAATAGAATTCCATAATTCTTTTGTTGTTGTTGTTGTTGTTGTTGTTGTTGAAGTATATGTTTAATTTACTTATTTTGTGTGCCAAGAGTTGATAATGGTTAAGTTGCTAGTGATAAGTAACAAAACTGACATTACTCCTACAGTGTAGATTGGAAAGGGAATTGTAGGAACACAGGAATAATAACAGCAGCAGCACCACAATAATCTTTACTACGACAATTGCTAAGCAGTATGAAAACATAGAAAATCAGTAAAAAAATAGTAGAAAATCATAGAATCACAGAGTTGGGCTGGGTCATTAATTGAAACTAAAATATCCCTGACAAATTGTTGCCCAGCCTTGCTTCACATGAAGTAAAAGGAAGCCCACACTCTCTCTGGGTCAGTGGTTCTCAACCTGTATTCTGTGGGCTCCTGGAGGGGCTGCAGTATCTCACAGGGGTCTCCAAAGGTTTGAAAAAATGTTATGATTTAAACCTTGAGTTATTCTGGGGGATCTGTGGCCATGGTCTGTGGCCACAAAGGGTATTTAAAGGGGATTCATGGTGAAGAAAAAGTTAAGAACCATTGCTCTAGACCAGCAGTCGCGAACTTTTCCAGCTTATATAATGGCATATAAATGGCAGGTGCATGCGCGTGCACAGATCCATTTCTGTGAATGGCAGGTGCACATGTCCTTCAGTTGCACAAATGGAGGATCGCGCGCAAGTGGAGGGTGCTCACACTCATGCATGAAGCTCCACTCTCGTGAGTGGCAGACACTTGCACTCATGTGTGAAGTTCTGCTTGCACAAGTAGAATTTTCTGCGCGAGCCGAGTGGCGTTTCATGCATGTGCACTTGCCCATCTCTCCCGCAGCCTGGTTTCGAACAGGTCGTGGCCTGGTAGTGGACCGCAGCCCAGGGATTGGGGACCCCTGGTTCCCTCCTGAACTGTTCTCATTGTTCAGATTTTTTTTTTGTCACTGAACATGCCTTTCTATCTGTCTTTTATTATTTGGTGAATGATTAATGGTAATACTTCTCTGTTGAGCCGCATGCATAATCTGGCTACATAGGTTATGGTTAGTATATTGAGGACATTGGACATCTTCTCATGACGATTCAACCTATTACGGCTTAGGCTTTTAAGCAATGAATTCTTTTTTTTTCTGACTGGCAGCTGAAAATTGACAGAAAGCTATTAGGCTACGATATGCTTGAGGCCATAAAGACAGATGTCTTTTATTCTACTTCTCAGGATTTCCCTTGTAGGTGCCAAAGACCTTCATCACCTCCCATTTAACTACACTCTCAATTATCTTTGTTGTTTTTACCCTGATGAAAGAAAGCCTCCAGTAATGTTATATAAATCCAAACTCCACATATATGACCAGCAAGAGTATTAAATATTGGTAGAGCTAAAGTTATTTGCTATGGTTGGACTGTGCTTATGAGAAATTCATATTTATTTTTTTGTCATTTTTAGTGCTTTATGCATTCCATCTATTAGACAAAATGCATTATGTCTAACAAAGGAAAACATTAGTTGGACAATTCCAAATAGTTTAGACTACAGTCCAGCTCTCCTTTTAACCACCATTGCCCTTAGCCCAAGAATGTAATAGTTGACATCTAGAACATTTGAAGCAGTTTGGGAGCTCACATTGGGAGGCAGTTTGAGAGCAAATAGGAGTGCAATATACAATTTAGTGAGGTGTTTTTTTTCCCCCGTGATAAGCCGGTAAAAAACATTTTTATTTCTGTGGATTCAATAGATAACATTGTTTATCTAAGGGATGTTTTGTGTTTTCAGTGGAAAATAATATATGAATTTCAGGGTTGAACTGTGGAATCTTTGGTTTTCTCTGAATTTGGTTGTTTTCTTGTAGATATTTCATTACCGAGTTAGGTAACATCTTCAGTACTAGAAAGAATGGGGTTGCCCTGTCAGAGTTGGTGAGGATGTTGTTTTTTCCTCGGTAGTAACTTGATTTGGCAGTTTACCGCTTGATCATTTGTTTGAGTTGTAGTTCCTTGATTTACTAGACTGTTTGTAGTCTAGTATTAATCCTTTTAATCCTGTTATCTGGGTGGTGATTACTGGTGAGATGTTCTGTTCTGTTGTTTCTTTTTTTAGCTTTTTTATTGTTTCTTTAAGAATGGTGTGTAAACTTTGTTTTTCCTTGAGCCTGTTCATGGCTGATTTGTCTGACTGCCAAACTTCTAAAAATTACCTAGCTGTTTTGGATTGAACTTAGTCTAGGATGCTCACAGTTTCTGAGTTGAAACTATGGTTAGGTCTGCCCATGTGTTGTGAAATTATGGAGTTTTCATCATGTCTTCTGAGTCCTGGTTAGTGTTCATGGACGCTCTCTGCTAGTTTTCTGCTTATGTGCCTTACATAGTGGCTGTTAGAGTCCTTATACTGTACTTGTAGATTACTCCTGTTTTTACTTCTTGGGTTACTGGGTCTTGGGTTACTTAAAATGTTTTGGAGGGTTTTAGTTGGCATATGTGCTATGTGATAAGGAGTCCTGGTGGCACAGTGGTTAGGTGCAGTATTTGAGGCAAACTCTGCCCACACCCTGCTGAAGTTTGACTCAGCCTTCCATCTTGCCAAGATCGGTAAAATGAGAACCCATATTGTTGGAGGCAATAAGCAAATAATGCTGATATTGTAATCCACCCAGAGAATGCTGTAAAGCACTGTGGGGCAGTATATAAGTCTAACTGCTATTGCTATGAGATGCCATGTGGCTGTAACCCTTTCATAGCTTGTGTTGGTTGTGAGTTGAGTCATCAACCACTTTTTTATAAAGTTGTATGGGTGTCCATTTTGTTGGAAGTTCTATAGGCAGTCTGTTTCTCTTTTCTGGTGTTCTGAGTTGCTGCAGTGTGTTTGTGCTCATCTGAATAATGTTCTTACGTAGCTCTTCCTTTTTGTGTATATATAATATATATGCATATACATATACATAATATATATTGAATTTTTAAAAAAGTAAAAAATAGACAAGCAGAAAGAAAAATAATTAAAAGAAAAGTCAAGAAAAAAGCCAGATAAAAGTTCAGAAACAAAAGAGAATGAAAAAGTAAAGACAATAGAAAAAGAATGACTTCTAACTTTTTTTTGATAAAGATATAGATGAAGAATATACTTCAAACTCTTACGCTTTAATTAGCAACAGTCCACATTATTTCTGTAATGACATATAATTCTAGTATATAATTTTAATCTTCTATTTCCAAAATCACAATTTCATTTCTTTCATATTTTTTTCTCAAAAAGTCCAAAAGTGGTTTCCTGGTAAAAATAAAATTCAAAGTCTTTTCTTTAATCAAAGGTATCAATTTCACCATTCCTGCCAATCCCATCAGCTTAACCATTCTTCCATTGTGGGTATTTGTAAGACCTTTCGCTTTTATACATACAAGGTGTTCCTCTGATTTGTTGATATATTTCTCTATTAACTGAAAATAGGTAGTGAGGCAGAGGTTGATGAAGGCCATGATTCCGGGTATTTTGATATTAGCATATTTTCTTAGATCGGATGTGTTGTGTAGTACTGCTGCCATGGATTCTTTCACTTTTTCTGGGGTCCCACTGATGTAAAAAGTGTTGTGACATTGAATGAAATCATAATTTCAGCTTCTTTTATTTTAGGTCTTTGATTTTCTGTAGGCACTGTAGTGAGGAGTTGATAGAATATTTGTTCTCTGAACTGTGCAAGCTTTTTTGTAAATTCTTCAGTTATATTGTATTTTGGAATCCCTGGCAAATGATACAATTGGACAAAGAGGTATTCAGGTTTGTGTATTTTGGGGTGTCCATAGAAGTGTAGGAATATGAGAGCTTTTCATCCACTGTTCTTCTTTTTCTGATTGACCTTTCTTGGTTGGATTGTTTAGAATTCTCTTGATTAAGTTGTCTACTTCCTGTACTGGGTTGGTTTTATTAGTATGTAGGCTTCTGACTTCCAGCAATTCTTTGGCTTTTTGTATGTATTGGGATCTGATCATGATAAGTTTTGTTGCTCAGAGGATGAGGGTTTGGTCTTGCTTTAGGTTTTTTGAGGGCTGCTCTGTCCTCCACTTTGAGTTGGTTCTGATTCTTTGTTTGATGGTGGTCTGATTGTCTGCCTTATGTTTTGTCAGGTCTCTGTGGCAAGGCCAATGGTTTTAAATGGTGCTTCTAAGGCTGCAGATTCTAACCAATAAACATCATTTATGTTAAAGTTGAGGCTTTTCGGTGGGATCTTGTGTGTTGTGGTGGATAGTGAGCAACTGGACATTTTGACAACCCATTCAGGTTCGGGTACCTCTTTGCTTCTAGGATTCAGCTTGAGCATTTTGATTTGGAGTTTTCTTTTTCTAGCTTTCGTTAAGGATGTAATCTTGTCAGAATTTTTGTTTGTTTTGGGATCATAGCTTGTTCTAGCATCTCATGTTTTCTGTTTTATCTCAGATTAGAACTTTTAACTTTTTGTTAAAACACAAAAGGTTTTGTGTGTTATCTCAAATTGGTAACTAGAGGTTTGTGTGAGAAATTACACTCACTCATTATCAAGATTTTAGATCATGATCAGACAACCTGTTGTCTTTAGAGGTTTAAATTAATGTTTTACACCACACAGTTACACAATGCCAGATCATTGCACATGCTAATTGGAATGTTTGAGTCATATTGTTAAAAAGAAAAATTGAAGGTATCACATCCTTGATTTAAGTAGGCATACTGTTGCATAATCTAGAATATTTCAGATGTGCTTATAAAAGGGATGTAAAGTGTTTAAAATTGTTTCTTATAAGTATTGGTTGAAACAATTCTTTCTGATGTTTTCAAGCCTAGGATGAAGTGCCTGTGACTTTTCAAATATTAGATTTAGCTTCAGGGATGATGGGTCCTACTGCCTGGAGCTATAGGGAGTGTGAGCTCAACAAGTTTGGGTTAGTGACTATTATACTGAATATTAATTAGCTATAGAGCAACTTGGAAAATTAGAGCATCCAATATTCAGAGTTTCAAAGTAGATTTAGAACAGCATCAAGGCAGGGTTAACCTTTTTAAAAACAGGATTGGACAAAGTGATTCCTAGATGGTGATTATCCAACTTTATGAACCTGTAATTATTCTTGAAAGCAGATCTTTGGATAGACTGAAATATCACATTAGGCAAAATGTCTGTTAAAGTGAATTTCAGAGGTACTTTTTCACTCAATAGATCTGAAAAATTTAAAGGGGAATATTTAAAAGATTAGCTAGTTTACTTGAGGTAGTGTGTTTGTGGTATCCATTCTTAGCCTTGAATATGAAGTATAATAATGGATCATAATTGAAAAGTCAGATTGACTATCCAAGCCAACAAGCAGAAATGTGCCATTGTCTGTATCTTTATTCTTTTTGCAGCTATTTTGGCCACTAAAATTATTAAGTGGCTTCTTTACAGACAAACATCTATGTTAAGCACAGAGAACATAAGTTGGCTTTCATTCCATTAAAGTGTTTAGATAATAGTTTCAAGTAAGTTAAAACCACATATATAGAGTACAAAGAAACTTCACTGTGGAATTGTTTTCTATCTTATAAAATATGTACTCCAGATATATTTACCCATCTGCCCTTAGAACCTTAATCTGTTAGAAGATGATCACTGATAATAATTGTTTTTTCAGCATGTCAAATGAGAGTTACAATTGTATGTAAGGATATTTAAATCTTGTTGAAATCTGTAAAATTTAAGCAGCTTAACAACTACAATATTATTTTCAAGTGAATTTTTAAATGTAATGATTAGGTATAAAGCTAAGAATATTATAAACGTAAAGGCCCTTTTGTAATAAAAGCATTTTTCTATGCGCTCTGTTAGAAGCTTTAAAAATCCTCTAAAAATAATTTCTTATTGTACAGAGCACCATCACCTGGTAGCTTCCGTTATTCCACTTGAAAAATTCCATCAGCTAAAGAGTATGAAGAAAAATAATTGCACTGTATGATTCAACCTGAGATGCTAAGCTTTCTAATGGAGCTCTAATGACAAATGAGAACTTCCTAATCTGACTTTCCTGTTTCATCTTTCTTCTTATTTTACTTAACTATTTGTAATTAACGTACTGAAACATATTGATTTACGAAAAACTCCTTCCCTGGAGTTTGGGATGATGATTATCTTTGCATATCTTCCTTATGGACTTTCAGAAGGAATTTCTCTCTCAGGTAAGTTGCAAAACAAACCCCCTGAAGTTATTGACAGTGTTAAAACAGCTTTCATTTTCCTAGAGCTCTCAGAGTGTTCAAAATTTCTAGTATATTTTCTCCCTGCAATCTTCCATGAAGGCTATAAGGAGAGAGAAGTGGATAATTTATCCTTCCAGTTGTTATGTTTTCTCACATTTAGATTAATTCCTTACTGTACATCCCAAAAGAGATTTTACCAATTTGGAATTTGGGGAACCACTATTTCAAACCAGTATGTAATGTTCCCTGTCTATCTATTATTGCGAAGTTCATAGGCTATGCTAAATCATAATGAGATTTGCTTGGTTTCGGCTTAAAAATAATTATGGTTTTTCATAGAACCATGGAAAATATACTCTAAGATTTGGTTCTACCTAATGCTCAGAATAGGAATACATTAAATCATTCCAGTGGATGGCTATCTAACTACTACACTGTGTGCACAATTATCAGGCAAGTTGTATTTTGGAGGATTGATTTCTTATTGAACAACTAAAGTGCTCTTGATCAATCCAAAATATTAATAAACCTCAAACCTGAATATTTTAAAAAGTAAAAGTGAGATTTTGGCTTTCTTAGGAGAATATCTATGTGTGCACAATTATTGGGCAACTATTAGTGTGCAGAATTATTATGCAACTAAGTGAAAAATGAAAATTTGCCCATCTTGTTTATTTGCATTTGTTAAAGAAAATAATAAACAACTCAAAAAGTAAACATTTCTGATATTTCACACAAAAAAAATCAGTGACCATTATAGCCACCTTTCTTTTCAATAACAGTCATAAGCTTTCCATTCAAGGATTCTGTCAGTTTCTTGATCTGTTGACGATCAATGTTTTATGCAGCAGCATCCACAGCGTCCCAAACACTGTTCAGAGAGGTGTACTGTTTTTCTTCATCATAAATCTCCCATTTAAGAAAGGCCCACAAGTTCTCAATAGGGTTTAGGTCAGGTGAGGAAGGGGGTCATGTCATTCTTTCATCTTTAAGGCCCTTCTGGCTAGCCATGCAGTGGAGTACTTCGATACATGTGATGGAGCATGTATCTTCTTAGATGCAGACTTTTTCTTCTTAGATGCAGACTTTTTCCTGTAACACTGCTTGAAGAAAATGTCTTCTAAGAACTGGCAGTAGGTTTGGGAGTTGATTTTGAGTCCATCTTCAATCTGAAAAGGTCCAACTAGCTCATCTTTAATAATACCAGCCCATACCAGTATCCCACCTCCACCTTGCTGGAGTCTGAGTTGAGTCATAGTGGAGCTCTGTGCCCATTACTGATCCAGCCATGGGCCCATCCATCTGGTCTGTCAAGAATCACTCTCATCTCATCAGTCCATAAAACCATAGAAAAATCTGTCTTCAGATATTTTGGGCCCAGTCTTGCCATTTCAACTTATATGTCTTGTTCAGTGGTTGTTGGCTTTCAGCCTTCCTTACCTTGGCCATGTCTCTGAGCACTGAACACCTTGTACTTCTGGGCACTCCTGGTAGGTTGCAGTTCTGGAATATGACAGCACTGGAGGATAATGGGTTCCCAGTAGCTTCATGTTTGATTCTTCTCAAATCTTTGGTAGTTAATGTGCGTTTTTTCTCTCTCAACATGTTTCTTGCAACCCTGTTGACTATTTGCAACAAAATATTTGATGGTACTGTGATCGTACCCCAATATCTTAGCAATTTCAAGAGCGTTGCATCCTTCTGAAAGACATTTTACAATTTTTGACTTTTCAGAGTCAGTTAAATCTCTTTTTTGGCCCATTTTGCCTTAGGAAAAGAAGCTGCCTAATACTTATGCACAACTTGATATAGGGCAGGGTTGTCAAATTGCTGGCCTGCGGACCGGACGCATCACGAGGAAACCGTGCCCACCCCATTGCCGGCAATGGGGAAAATGTTCCGATACGTTGCGCGATGTCATGTGATGTCACGAGTTTGACATGTCTGATATAGGGTGTTGATCTTCTTAGGCCACATCCTACCTCATTACATAAATACACATCACCTGATATGCTTATATCCACTAATCACTCAAGTTTATACAGCTTGAAGGTGGAAAATATGCATGAAAATGATATGGTCAAAATACTCATTTGTCTAATAATTGTGTACACAGTGTATGAGAAAACGTCCAGCAAAAAATGATTTATTACTGTTCTAGGCAAGTTGTTCTACTGCTTAACAACTTAACAACAACAGCTTAACAACATTAGGACATTCCTTGTGATGTTTATGTTAATATAACCAAAGATTATATTAGCCTTTTTAGGTGCTATGTTCAGTTGATGGTCCAAAAGTATTCCTAGATCATTCTGACGCACATTGTCATACAAGTCAATAGATATTTGACTTTTTATATGTATATGGAGGATTTTGCTTTTGTCACAGATAAACATCTTTCCATTGATTATGGTCCAATTTTTATTTTCACAGAGGTTATTTTGAATTGTAATTTTGACTTCTAAGATATTAACTAATTATCCTAGCTTGGTATCATCTAAAAATTTGAGAAGCAGTTCTGTATCCTACATCATTTATAAAGATGTTAACTGACATTGAACTAAAGACATAATCCTGCAAGACTTTATTCATACTTTACTTTGGGATGATGATGATGATAATAATAATAATAATAATAATAATAATAATAATAATAATAATAATAATAATTAGACAAAAATGCCAAATACAGTCTGAACATCTGACTGACTGTGCTCAGGAATTCTGGGAGTTGAAGTCCACGAGTCATAAAAGAGCCAAGGTTGCCTACCCCTGTCTTAGAGATTAAATTGACACCGACCTTGGCGTTTTCCATAAAACAGTTAAGACTTGGCTTTTTCAGTTAGCCTTGGGATCTGATGTACTGAATTTGTCCTTCCTGCAGAGAAAAGTTCTTTTTAATCTTACTATTGAACTCAGGCATGTAAGCTGCTCAGAATCAGTTTGTAATTGAAGTGACATAAAAGCTTGGAAACTAAGCTAAAATAAAATTGTACTAAGATTGGATTTAAAGATACTGTTCAGTCATAAATTAAAGGAAGAAGCCTATAGATTAGTGATAATCCAGGTACATATACCTTTTGCACTGCACTGTATGTAGTTGGGATTTTTGTATTTTGTATTTTTGTAGTTGGAATGTTTACTTCAGTAATGTATGCGGATAGCAAAATATGTAGTTATTTTAATTGTATACACTAGTAGTATATCAAATTGCTTGAACTAGAAAAGAAGAAAAATGATCTAGAAAGTATATCAAATTACTTGAACTGGAAGAGGAGAGAAGGAAGAAGATTATGACAGTTTTAAAGGACCAAAGTTTTTTCACAATCAGAAACAACCTCTTTTGCTAAATTAAGTATCTAGTGTCGTTATTTTAGTAACATACATTGTACATTGTTTTAGAGTCTGGGATAATAGAACATTTCTACAAAGGTTTAGGGATGTTGTGATTTGACCTTAGTCAAAAGAGATTTACTATGATATCTTGTAGAACAGGGGTCCCCAACCCCCGATCCATGGACTGGCACCGGTCTGTGGCATGCCAGCAACTGGGCCACGCAAACAAGTGAAGCCCCATCCACGGGATGCAGGCAACACGCGAAACCAGGATCCCTCTGGTCTGCGGAAAAACCTCTCTCCACGGAACCTGTCCCTGGTGCCCAAAAGGTTGGGGGGCCCTGTTGTAGAGAGCAAAATTTTACAATTAACTATTCATGTTTATGATTTGAAGTATTCTTATGTATCTGCAAGTGCTGGGAGAACTTGGTCCCAAATATGCCTCTCCCTAAATACACTCCGCCTCTCATTAGTCTAGAACATCTCACAGAGTGAAATGTATGTGGTTGTTGCGAGTAACTGCTTGTCCCCTGCTTTTCTAGTTGTTGTAGTATCATTTGTTAAGAAGCATCATGGGCACCTGATAACAACTGTAAAGTCTAAGCATATTTGTATCCATGCTGATTTTACCAGAAAAATATCTGTTTTGATAGCCACAGCATTTGCAACTTTGCATATGCAATTCAGAGTGGATTTTACAGCTGTTCTCTAGTCCTGAAGTAACCCCCTGGAGAGCCAATGCTTGCTTTTTTTAATAGCTGTTTTATGCCAAATAAAATATTGGAAATTGTAATGCAACTAATAATTAAAATTCTGGAGCACCTTCACTAATAGGTTCATAATCATTCAGTAGAATATTAGATTTAAATTGGATAAAATGAATTACGTAATGCAGCAACTAAAAGGATTGTGATGAATTTGAGGTTCACTGAATCTGTCAGCTGCTATCAGATCACTGTTTTATTCTCATTTTACAGAGGCTTTGCCATCTCTCTGTCTCTTTTGGTATAATATCAAGTATGACTTCTTCATTTTCTTTGTGTGAAACTTGTTTTTGTACTCTGGAAATAAACAGTAGTGTCAAATGACATCCAGTTGGGATCTGGTAATACGATCCATATGATACTGGTTCCATGGAAGCTCCATTCAGTCTCTGCAGCATTGGAGTAGCTTGAAGACTTTCTTCCAGCCCTAAACAGAATGTATAGGAAATGCATGTGAACTGAAGTAATAGCAACTGTTTATGTATGTCATGCTAAGCCATATGTAGCTTTGGATCATTTTCATCGATAAATCAATAAATATAAGGTTTTGAATTATTTGTTTAATTGGGTTTGCTATCTAGTTTTGGACTTGTATGGAGAATAGATCATCTTTCAGGTCATATTTATAGCAATAACAATAGCACTTAGATATACCACCCGATAGTGCTTTACAGCACTCTCTGGGTGGTTTACAATGTCAACATATTGCCCCCAACAATCTGGGTCCTCATTTTACCGACCTCAGAAAGATGGAAGTCTGAGTCAACCTGAGCCCATCTGGATCGAACTCCAGACTGCGGGCAGAATTAGCCTGCAATACTACATTCTAACCACTGCACCACCAGATCTGCATATTTATGCAGAAATATTGAAAATTCAAAAGGCTTCATGAACTATGAAGCACTACTGTAACAGAAAAATCCAATTATTCAATATGTTAGAGTAATAATATGTAGTTGCAGCCTTCAGTCATATGGGAGTGTGGATATAATTTGCAACAGGAGAATATACTCTTCTTCAGGAGCTGAAGTTCAGTAGATTTGAGAAGAAAGTTGGTTGCAAAGATGCCTTTTCAATCATAGCATTATTTTCCTGCAAACATTACCACATTCTCCATATTGAAAGAGTGAGAATATTACTTATAATGAAACCAATATCTGCAATCTATGGTTAAGTCTTAGTTTGGCTATTCTCCTTGAGTCTATTAACTAGTATTTGTTTGTCTATTGTTGGCCTAGTAGAAACAACTTTCAAAGTGTGGTGATATTTTGGGTCCTTTATATATACAATGTTGATTTTCTAATAACTGGAATTATGTAATTGGGAGGGCAATTATTTTGTAATTTCTAGGTTTGGGTCTTTATTTACAATAGAAAAATACAGATTTGGTATTTCATATACAGTAGTGATATTCATCAGACTTAAGTGAAAGCACACTCCAGTGGAAAAACGAAACTCCTGTGTAAGCAGTCCAAGTCCTTCAAAGGTGCTAAGCTGTTCCCAATTTTGAAGTACATTGTGAAAATATTTTATATGCATATTTAGGTGCTTTTGTCCCTTTGGCAGTTGAGCCAAGGGACTGAGCTACTCCGGGCAGCTGGCCCAACCCCTGTTGTTCAATTGTGCAACTGCTAGACCTAAGTTTCCAATCTGAATCACTACTTTTCCCATTCTTGTGCTGCAGAACAATTCTGATTCTTTATTGGCTTGCAATTAGTAGCAGTTTAAGGAAAAACGTGACTTTATATATAGGTATATCTAATTGTGAAATTTTTCTTCCAGGTATCATGGCTATCTTGTTTTCCGGCATCGTAATGTCTCACTACACCCACCATAATCTTTCTCCAGTTACACAGATCCTAATGCAGCAGACTCTGAGAACTGTTGCATTCATGTGTGGTATGTACTGTCTGTTGCTTGGACTCTTACTATCAAGGAAGAATTTTCTAAATGCTTCCTGATTATCCTACTAGTTTTTACTAGTTTTTCCAAATGCTTCCTGATGATCCTACTAGTAATCTAGGGGTTACTACATAAGTGAAATACTTTAATTTAAGCATTAAATATTTTTCAGTTATGATTATCCATTTTTGTCCTGCCAGTTGATCAGGAGCTATGGGCAATGGTGTTGAGAGTTATCTCTAGAGGTGCTCCTTAACCACCCTTCATTTAGTGACCATTCAGAGTTATAACAGCACTGAAAAAAACTGACTTATAACTGGTCTTTGCACCACTGCAACATCCCCACAGTCATGTGATCAAAATTCGGGCACTTGGCAAACGGCATGCATTTATGATGACTAGAGTGTCCTGGAGTGCTGGGGTCATTGATTGCCAGCTGGTTTCTGACAAGCAGCATCAATGGGAGAAACTGGGTTTGCTTAACAATCCATGATTCATTTAACAACTGCAGTGATTCGCTTAACAGCTGTAGCAAAAAAAAGGTTGTAAAATCAAGCACAACTCACTTAACAACTGCTTTGCTAAGCAATGAGAATTGGGAAATGTGTCAGCAACACCTGCAAGACTGGAGAGTAGCAGTCTGGAAGATGCTTATCAGTTCCTGGTGTCTTTTTTCCTGTGAGCACTGACTCTTTCTCAAATTCCTCATCCCTGATCTAGTCTAATGTCTCAAATGCTCCTGACCAGATAAATGTATTTTAAAAATAGTTTTGAAGGTTGCAGCGTATGGCTTCCCTATATCTCAGCAGATGGCAGCACTTTGCAGTCCTTGCTATGGCTGAGAAAGAGATTTTACATTGCAACTTGGTGTATATTCAGACATTTGGTAGGCCCCATTTGATCCAGTAGGACTCCCAACTAAGCATGCATGCCATCGCAGCCTTAGACATTACAATTTGTCGTCATTGATTGATCTATTTTTTTGTGATTTCAAAATCATTCAGAATGTGAATTATGGATAAGAAAAAGCAGAGGTGTTTCTTTAACGGTGGGAGCATTTCTTCACCACAATTCTCAGAACAGACCTACTAATATAGAGTCTGCCAAGCAGAAAAGTCACCTTTACTGACAAGGGGGATAAAATGTGCTGTAAATCTTTTCCTCTCTTCTCCCCCAAGCTCTGGCTAAGTCTTGCCACAAGATTAATAACAAAATGGATTTCTTTTACTTTTTTCTCGCCTCCAGGGTACTTTTAGATGATAGAGAGGCAACATGCCTTCATTTCCATTAAAGGATTATGGATACAGTACCAGGAAGCTATTTAAAAAGGGGGGAAAAATTACATTCATGTGGTTTTCTGTTCTCTGTCCTGTCTAAGATGGCATTTGTTTTTAAATGTATTTATTATTTAGATGATATTAAGCTAAACACAGTATTAATGATAGGGCCAGATGTGAAAAAAAATCTTATAATTTCATGGATGCAGGAATCAGAGGCAGTGCTACACACACACAAAAAAAAGAACACAAGCATAAAACCTGCATCGTTAGACTAGATCACATATTCACTGATCCTTTACCTGTTTTCTTTCACAATAGCTAGCTAGATACTACCAGGAGAGACACATGACCAGAACATGTGGGAAACAGACTTGTGATTTGCCCCATCATTAAGTGTGCTGCTTGTCTTTGAACATGGGCATTCACTGAGCTATTAAAGCTAAATTAATATCAGATCTGAATGGTGCTTTCTGAAGTTTAAAGTGCAGGGACACAGAAGGTTGAACATCTGTTAAGAGAGAAAAAGAGGAAATAGCCGGGGGAAACAGAAGATCCTGAAAAAAAATATCTTGCTGGCAAGACAAATCATACCGCAGTGTTTTGTTGCAGGCCCAAATCATCACTGTTAGCCATACTGTTAGACCTACATGTTGTGTGTTTCTTTTTCAATCTTTTATTTTTGTAAAATCTGGGCTCCATTGCTAAATCTTATGCAGCAGATGCTAGGTTTTAATAGAACCCTGTTGAAGAAACTAAATGCCTGTTGGATTACCAGTGTTTCTCAACCTTGACAATTTTAAGGCATGTGGACTTCAACTCCCAGAATTCCACAGCCAGCAATGCTGGCTGTGGAATTCTGGGAGTTGAAGTCCACATGCCTTAAAATTGTCAAGGTTGAGAAACACTGGATTAGACCCAGACTCTTTGAAAGTAATAACCCAGTGAGAGAAGAATCTCCCAGTCTTTCCTTTTCCTTTTGAAAGAAAGAAGTTATGTATCTGGACATAACAGATTATGTATCTGGACATTTTGAACATTTTTCTTTTTTCTTTTTCTTCGTTATGTCATCTAGTAATGTAAGAGACTGCATCTGCATCAAACATTTCTTTTGAAACTCTTGACATTTTAAAAAATTAAACATAGTGGTACTTTGTGATTACTCATTTCTGATTTTTCTCTTTCAGAAACATGTGTTTTTGCATTTCTGGGCCTGTCAATTTTTAGCTTTCCTCACAAGTTTGAAGTGTCCTTTGTCATCTGGTGCATAGTAGGTATCAAATTATAGTAGAGTTTATTTGTTTCACCTGACCCCAGATTGGCAAGAAAGGCTATATAATGCATCATTGAGAACTCCAATTTATTTATTATTTGTCACAACAATTTGCATGCTACCTACTCATTGGAATCTAGCTGGATTATAATATTAAAAACAATGCAATGTGTACGTATAATAACGCAAACTAGGCTACACTGCAGAGAATTGTTTTCTAAAGGATCTATGAAAATGACTCTTAAAAGTCAGGGTCTTCTGGAAAGCCAGTGGGTGTATAGGACATTCTTTTGCAATTGGACACTGTCCTGATGGTGAACAGTGGTCCTTTTTGAGATTAAAGGGTTTATACACTATATAATTATTACTGTTATCCAGATTTCAGGATGTTCATTGATTTGCATAACGGTCCTAAAACTTAAGAGGAGGGTTATCCTTATAACTCTGTGACATCGAACTGCATATATTCTTATAACAACAGTTGATAATCTTAAAAGATACCACCAAATTCCTTTTAACTTTTGGTTAATGTGGACTAGCATACCTCTTCTCCTGACATGCTAGTTTTTAGTGAACTCAGGTCTGACTCAGTTACAAGGCAGCTTTGTGTTTCTACTTTATTTATTATTCATTTTGAGGCAGCCAAGGCTAGAAAGAAAGGCCGCGGTAAGAGGAGACTAATTGCTAGGGGAGTTGCAAGCACTACCTTATAGGGTCAGGCTAACATTAATTTGGTCTAGCATTTTACTTCCAGGACTTCCTAGTTAGGAATTTCTGTAAATTCATAAGTAATGTGAAAAAGTGACGTTGCATTTATTTACCCTACATATTCTATTTATCTCTTGTATTTATTTCAATTTATATGGTCACCCATCTCAAAGGCATGATGCTGAGCAGTTCACAGCATTTAAAACACAATACAAATTCTTGACATACTGCAGTTTGTTTAGTGACCTTTCATAGTTACAATGGCACTGAAAAAAATGACTTATGACACAATCATTGCAGCATACCCATGGTCATGCAGCATACCCATGGTCAAATCCAGACACTTAAAAACTGACTTATATTTATGGGGGTTGCAGAGTCCCATGGTCATGTGGTCATGTGATTTTCTGACCTCCAAGGTCCCTTCCAACTTTTTATTATTATTATTATTATTATTATTATTATTATTATTATTATTATTATTATTATTATTATTATTATTAGGAAGCCAGATTCACTTAACAGCTGTGTTACGAATTTAACAACTGCAGTGATGCACTTAACAACTGTGGCAAAAAGGTTGTAAAATGGAGCAAGACTCACTTAACAACCATCTCGCTTAGCAACATAAATTTTGAGCTCAATTGTCATCATAAGTTGAGGACTACCTGTATAAAGTATCTAGAATTAAAGAAATATTCCTTTTTCTCTTTGAGCTGAACACAACCTGAATGCTATGAATTTGCTCCTTTTCTTCCCTCTCTTATATAGTATGCTCTCATGCATGTTTGTTTGAGGGTTAAGACCTTCTCTTTTCATTTGCTGTCAAGTGAATTTGTAGTGGACTAGAGCCTTAGCTTAATAATTCCTTAACATCCTTTAAGCATTCCGTCATAGTCAAGAGCAGTTGTAAAGTAGCAAATTAAGGGCTTGCCCCTCCCCTTCCAAATGAGAATTAAATAAAAATAAGCAGAGGTATATATGGGATGTAACGCATCTGAGAAAAAAATGGGTGTGTTAAGCTCCACCCATAAAGTCCTCTTGAAACTGACTTAAGGGCTACCTAAGCTAGCATTCTGTTTCTATATTAGCCCCAGATGCCAATATAGAAGTGACCCATATAGAAGTTACGAATCCCAATCCCCGTTTTCCAATTGTTACTTCTCTTATTAAAAGCTCAATTTTGCTTCTTTTTGACAGGTGCTTGTTCTTTTTGGTAGAGCAGTCAATATTTTCCCCCTCTCTTATTTGCTCAATTTCTTCCGTGATCACAAGATCACTCCCAAAATGATGTTCATCATGTGGTTTAGTGGTAAGTTCTTGCAATTTTCATTCTTAGATATTGTTCTATATAGCACTGTAATTGTAATTGAGTCTTCATAAGATCATGTTAAAACTATATGCTGAGTTTCTGCATAAGAAAACTTTCATTTTCTCTATTTTTGACTGATTGATTGATTGCTATCTCCCACTGTACAAAGGAATTGTCTCCAACTGCTCAGCAAAAAAAAAATGTTTGGGGTAGAGATAAATCTTTCACTGCTCATTTCTAATTCTGTATAGGACATTTTGCATAAAATGAGAAGTAGTTCAGCTTTCTCCCACATGGTCTTATCTAGATGTATTTTGAAAACAATTTATATGTTGACCTAGCAAATTTGCAAAAATGGCTGGGAATTCAGAGTTTCAAGCCCAAGATTATGAATTATTTCCATTTTATATGGATAAGGGAGGGAAAAGTCTAATGAGAGTGACTTCTGCTAGTCTCAGATGGAACTTTTGTCCCAAGTCATATATGGATATAGGACCACCCATGAGCCACATGTTGTCTTTAAAGCCACATGTTGTCTTTTTCTCAAGCCCACCATTGCTCTTCTCCTGTATCTCCTTAAGCATTGATAGCATGTGTAAGGATACATTTCCTCCCAGGTTTTCCCCAGCACAAAGACACCTTATACACATCTTGGCAGGCAGTTAGAAACTCAATTTATATGGAGAAAGTGCTGCCTGGAAGGCAGATCATCTCTATATTTATGTGTCAGTATATTTGCATATAAATGTATTCCCAGTCCATTGCTGAATGCCACATAGAGCCATTAAGGCAAAAAGACTGCCCATTTCTGGACAAGATAGATCTTGGGTATAGAAGGAACAAAAAACTAATGCGGCATAAGACAACCTCAGATTCCAGTGGTGATGAGACGGAGTGGAGGAATGAATGGTTATGAAGGTAGCAGTGACATAGCTTTGTGCCAATGCTTCATTGCAAGCTATTCCTTGTAGGCTATCCTAAACCAGGATGCGTGTCCCTTAATCTTCAGACACCAAACAAAGAAACCATCCTTTTGATAGCTTGAAGAATATTATTTCTAGAGGGGCTGAG